CTATTAAAACTTTAAATCAAACTTGTTTTTATAAGGCACTTTTTCCTAAAATGTAACTGTTTAAATTCAAAGTTAATTTAAAGGAAACTGGTTTCACACAACACTAAGCTTTCCAATTAGACCTTGTTGAGCTTTAAACTCAGATTAAAGTGCAGTAGAATCAACAAAAGAAACCTTGATTTAATCCAGGTATAATCCTAGCTGGCACAAACCAGCCACAGCATGTTGCTGAACTTGAAAGTGTGAGGAGGGACAGCTGTTTAAGTGATGCCTGAACTGGCCCCGTGGTTCATATGAGATTCACTATGTGGGAGAGATTGTTTATGTAAAACACGCTTGTGTAAAGTGAGCAGTTGTTGTTATGTGTGTGTGTGTGTGTGTGTGTGTGACAATGACCATTCAGTGGAGCAGCTGAGATTGATTTGGACAGGTGCTGCAGGCAGAGATTTTCTCTCTGTGTGTGTTCATGCACACGTGTCTGCACGTATGGCCCCGTGTGTGTCTTTGTGTGTTCGTATGGCCACAAATGTAAGCATGTGTGCACATTAACCAGGATGAGGGACAATGCGCTGTTGTGTGTCTGCTGGTGGTGAGAAACCTAATAGCCAAGGACACAGTAGCTCAGCCAGCAGCTGTCCCGTCTCTGCACCTCCTATTACACTCAGCTCTGTTGACATATGGAAAACTCACAATTCTGACCAATTATCTTTTAAATTTGGATGAAGGGTTACATGAATTTAAGAAATCATTTCAGAAATCACAGAATAAATGCAAAAGGTAATCAAGATTAAATTAAGACTGAAATGATTTGTTCCTAAAAGGATGATTCGGTTTTCTCTGCAGATGTGTCAACAAAAACATGTTAATATTTTATAAATTGATCTTGTGTTTTGTCAGTAAAATTTGAAGTAAATAGTAACTATAGCTGTGGAGATAAAAACACCATATTTGAATGTTGTGGAGTAGAAGTATAAAGTCGCATAAAGTAGAAATACTAACATAAAGTATATCACCTCAAAATGACCTGCAGTGACAGATTTTTTTTGCCACTTGGGTGTTGTTGTTTTTTTTTCGAGCTTTTCTGCCTGCTGTGGGCAAAAATGCTTTGTGGAGAGTGGTAAGTATATAAACTAAAGCAGCAAAGTTGTCGGCTGGAGAGCGAAACACTGAGCTGAAACCCATTATAAAGCTCTGTAAAGCTGAAGGGATGTGCAGATTACGAGTGAACCCTTTCACTGTCAAATTGTTTGAAAACATAGTCCTTTTAAACAAGGACCAAAATGGAAATCAGTCTTGGACTTTTTTGTATCACCCTGGAGATTTTTAAAGACTCAACACATGTATGCAGACATTTATAGAAATAGTCTGCCTTGAACATAAATGTGTGATAGGTTTTTCTCCACAAAACAATTATAATTTCCTCAGTAAAATCCTTCTATCTCGTTAAAAATTCCAGGATTGACGTCAAACTATTTGTGACCCCGCCCCTTAAAATCTGATTTTCACTGAGCACAGAAAAACATGTTTTTGAACGGAGGGGGACTTTAAAGTGTAACTACATTCTTCAGTTCTGCTAGCTCGCTCTCTCTCGGCAATTTTATTAAATACATCAGAGACATACAGAGGACAGCGACTTTAGGGGGCGTGGCCAGTGATTGACAGACTGACCACAGCAGCGTAGCAGAAACAGCAAGCTGGTAGTCAGAGAGAATGAGCATCTGTTGTCAGACTCTCCGTGTCCACACAGAGAGTCCGCTAGAGATTTTACAGTCACTTGAAGCACTATACTGTGTTGTATCTGAGTCAGCTGCTGTATGTAGCTGAGCTAGCGGCTCAGATAGGCTATTTCTCCCGTACGTGTGTGTCTCTGTAGAGGGACTGTCAGTGCGTGGCATCAACCTAAAGATTGCAGTCCATTGGTGTTTCTGCAGCCGTCTAAAGCACAAGTCTGAACCACTGTGCCAGAATAGAAAAATACTAAGTAGAGGATTGGCGAAAACTAGCATAAATTCCTGTGAATGATGCGTCTCGATTAGTATACATTTAAAAATCAGACTCCACCTTAAAGCGGAGGCTGGAAGAGGTGGGCTGCCCTCCTCTGATTAGAGGGCATTAACCATTGACAGTATATATAATGGACAGAGCTTCAGGGTCTGAAAAGTGAAGCCAACGTAAAATTGCTTAAAACCTGCATTCTATGTAAAGGCCGGCAGGGGGAGCTCGATTGGCTGCAAAAGCAGGGCGATCCCATTCACTTTAATGGACAATGAGCCGACTTGTCACTTCATTCACGAGCTCAGGAAACAGTTTCCTAATGAGTTTATGGTCTCAGTCGCTAGTTTAACATTTTCTTCAATACATTATGATGTTCATTTAGTAAATTATGGCCCAATTTAGAGTAAAATAGACAATAAAGTATGCTTCTGGGCGGGGCTACATTTTGATTGACAGGTCACTCTCAGTGAGTCCATCCGGCGCAGCACACGAAACTTGGATCAAACTGTCAAACTAGGCAGTGCTGATCAAATACGAAGCAAGATTCTGTTATTGTGTTGCCTATTTCTCACTTAAAATTGTTTCAGAAACATATTTCAGTGTACTGTTTAGCCGTTATACAAGACTGTGTGTGACCAAGCGAGCTGCCATTGTTTCCGGCTATGGACGAGTCAAAACTGTGCAGCCAATGAGAGCAGATCAACTCTCAGCACAGAGCAAACAGCAGGTCCGCTGGCTCGCTCTGGCTCCGTCTAACTGTCATGGCAGCAGCCAAAACGCCAAACTCACGGCTTCAAAACGGTACTCCACAAACCAATGGGTGACGTCACGATAGGTTCACACTCACGTATAGTCGCCCCCAACAGTCGACTGTACGTCAGCATTCGACTTACAAGGTTCAGGGTGACTAAAACTAGTAGAGGGCGTGTTGAGCCATTTTTAACCCACAAAATGCAAATTTTCATCAATTCAATATGAATGTTTTTAACACCAGCAATTGTTGTGTTTCATCACTGTACACAATTAATTTACTGCTCAAAAAACACGAGTAGCCCTTTAAGTCGTAATATTCTCCTAAGAGAGAGGCGATTGTCCTGACGATATTGTATACTAACAACACTAAAAAGAACAGCCCCCTTTCAAAATAAAAGCAGCTCATATCTCCCCTGTTAGTCTGCGCGCGCTCTCCGTCAGTCGTCCAGGGTGAGCACGCGAGCGCAGGCGCGTGCTGCAGATGAAACTTCAATAAGCTGAAGAGAGTTTGAGAGTTTGAGAGTAAAAGCCTCCTCACCCAGACAGCCACAGACCTCAGGACGGATAACTGCTCACCGTTACTAAACATCACCTCCATGAAGATGTTGGCGCTGCTTCTTCTCATCACTTTATTGCACAGTGAGTTTTTTTTTTTTTTTAATTTGAGAAACTTTATTAAACTATTTGCTGACGTTATTAATGACAGAGAATGGGCCGTAGACCGACTGTTAGAAGTTTTCAGTGGCAGAAGTGCTTTAGGCTGTACAGGCCTATGATTTCAACAGTGTTTTTAATAGGATATTCCTATAATATTCCTCCACCTTTTCACAAGGGATTCTACTGCCTCAGATATTAAAGGTGTGCATTGATGAAACAGAAAAAAAAGGAAACCCTGAACCAAACGAGATAGTTAGGGACTGTATGAAACTTAACGGAGGGGCTTTGAACCTTATGTTTCACTTTTAAAAAACAGTACTACCATCCACCAGTGTTTTTAAACATTTTATTTTGACCCTGCTCTTGTTAAAAAAAACCCTTTCCCCAATGTCTCAAAATAATAACAGTATTAATACAACTCAGTTAACCAATAATAATAAGAGACAAACAAATGTGAACAAAACAATGAACCTTAACCTTAAATAATATTTTCATTGTTTTTATTGTTTTTTCTTTCTTTAAGATACTCCCAAAAAAGTTTTCTTCTTTCAGCAAAATAATTCTTGTAGAGTCCCTCAGAAATGCAGGATGCAGATGGACTGGCTTGTGTTTTATTGATCATTAGTTTGTGTGATTCAGTTCGTATTAAGCCTGCATGCTGGGGGGAGGTGTGATGTGTTCAGGGACTGCATCAGGGGCTGAGATTGTGCAGGGAGTGGTTGTGGCTGGGGCTCATGTTTACGCTGAACCCACTCTGATGCTGTTTGAACCCGAGATCCACAGGCTGATGAGACACATCACATGGCCCCGCGGAGGAGTCTGAGATCCCACCCTTTCAGTTTGAAGATAGCCCCCGGCTGACCCTGTTGTTAATTGGACTGAGATGAAAACGACCCCTTGCTATCAGGAAAAATGCATTTGAAGTTGCTGTGGGAATTTTAAAAGGGAAAACAACGTGTTTTATGTGGATAATTGAAGCTTTTACATGTTTGTTTTGATCTTTCTTGTATTTACTCTTGAGGACCAAATGTCCTCACAGAGATTAAAAGATTGAACTCCTTATCCTCAGGACAGTTAAGGGCGTGTTTCGAATATTTTGGGCATCATTGGTAATATTGAATTTGATATTAGGCACAACACAATGCTAATATATTATAACAATTCTTTTGAATATGATTTTCCTTAATGAAAAAAAACATATAATTACAACATTATGATGCATAATATCACATGTCTAAACATGAATTTGTTTGTTCTGTTTAAGATTAGTTCACCGCAAGGATTCAAGTCTAGAATTAAAATCGGAATCAGGTTCAGGTTTGGCTGAGGGTCAAAGTAAAGAATACGGCACCGAGGGTGAAGGATTCAGTCAGTGTGTAATACAGATATGTGTGTGTGTGTGTGTGTGTGTGGTGTGTGGTGTTGTGCCAGCTGAGAAGGATAAGTTACTGTCATGAAGAGCTGCTTTGTCTGCAGAAGAAAAAGCATGCCTTTCAATGCATGTGTTCGCAGCACACACACACACACACACACACACACACACACACACACACACTGAGAATGTCTTTTTCCTCGAATACCAAACAAGACATACGCGTTAACATTTAAGCTCCTTCAGTGATTCTAAGAATTTATCATCATCATTCATCTATCATTCGCTCCCTGTTGCCTTAATTGTCGGCTGTTCATGTTGGATTTGTGGCAGGTTTAAGTTTTCACAACATAAATATCTAAATATCTGTATAACATCAGTAGAAACAACACAAATCTGCAGCATAATGCACTTCTGTGATGCTGCTGGTGTTAAGGAAAGCTGCTTTGTTGCACTCACATCCTCTTTGAAGCTTTAGTTTTATGGTATAAGTATATTTATCATGTTTTGGTAAAGCTTTGATTCTGGGTTTTTGGTAAAACGTGTTGCCATTGAAATCCTGGCATGGATTTAATGCTAACAAAAGAAAGTACAAACCTTTTACAGCCACATTCGAACCTACTTTGGATGTAGATTTTATGCGGTTTATCACTTTAAATTAGTATTTTCATTTGTGGTTTGTTTTTATAATTTTATGCATTTTTGTAAAGGAATGTACGCTGTGCTCTCTCTCTCTCTCTCGTGTGTGTGTGTGTGTGCGCATGCTGAAGGGACAGATCACTAAAAGAGGTTATCAGGTCAGGAAAAAGCAGCTTGTCAGGGAATCATCCATCACCTGCATTCCTACACAGCACCGCTCCTGGCACCACCAGAATGTAGCTACACACTCTGCATGTCGGTCTGTGTGTGTGTGTGTGTAGGCATCCACACAAGAGGGAAGCAGATAACGCACATATTCTCTTGTGGAAAATGAATATTGTAAATGTTTACTATGTGGTGAGGATGCACGCCCGGTATGTGTAGGCTGGTATGTATGTATGTGCAGTTTGACAGGCCCACATTCTGAAACTATAGATATATTCAGGATATATAATAAGTCATTGATCCTCTCCCCCCTGCAGGTCCTATCTGTCTGTCAGTGACAGTAAGCAGCAGTAAACCCAAAGTGGAGGTCCACGAGCACACAGGTGAGACTGCAGCGGCTGAAATAATCATGAATTATATTGTCATTAAATAAAGCTTTAAGGAAAGTTGTCTAATGTAGATTGAAGTTAATTCATTAAAAGGTCCAGTGTGCACAATATATATAGGAATCATTGTGTTTTTGTTGCCTTAGAAGGAGACGTTTTTATCTACAGAGTGAGCGGGTCCTCTTCTATGTAGTCCGCCATGTTGAACAGCCAAGTTTCTACAGTAGCCCAGAATGGACAAACCAAACACTGGCTGTAGACAGGGACTTTCACGTCTTTTACAAGTTTCACAGCCACCGTAGTTTCTCTCCCACGCTTGGAGGGCTGAGCTGTATTAAATGGCTTCAATCTACAACTTCACCACTAGATGCCACTGAATCCTACACACTAGTCCTATAATACAGAAAATGAGCGAAAAAAGCAGTCACTGTACAGTAGAACTGTCCTTTAATGCTTATCAAAGCAGCATCAGTTTTCATGACTTAACAGTTGTGACAAAAAAGCAACAAATTCATCAGCAGATAATGGGACAAATGAAGTGCAAATTTTAACAAGGTCAAAGTTATTGCTACTGCGGGTTGACGCCTTTGTATGTTTTCTGTCCTTCCAGATGCTGTGCTTGCCTGTGAGTTTAAAACAGAGAAAGATCAGAGCCCTCGAATAGAGTGGAAGACAACAGGAAAGGAGGCGGCATTTGTGTATTTTAATAAAAAATTTAGTGGTGAGTGACGTAACCTTTGGTGCATGAACTGATTTTATTATTATTATTTTAGCAAACTAGTAGTGTAGTGACGTCCATCCTCTATCATCTTTCCTTCCACTATAGGGCGTTATGTAGGACGGGCAAAGATAGAGGGAGCGACGCTGACGATACACTCTGTGACTCAGAAAGACTCGGGGCAGTACCGCTGTGAGGTGACTGCCAGCCAGGACCGCGTCAACTTCGGAGAGGTTACTGTAACCCTCAATGTGCTTGGTATGAAACCTCTATGTGTTTTTGTGAATATGTGAATATGCATATATGAGGGGAAATGTATGTATTTTTTATGAAACAAATGAAGAGTAAACTTATGGTAAACAAGTAAATAAATAAAAAAATAAAAAAATAAAACTTGGATGGTAAATTGTGCCTTTAAAGTCACGGTGAAGTGGCAGTTAGAGCAGCTTTAGTTTCTGTAATGTGACCTATTTCTAAGGGAAACAGTATGTGTGGGATTTAGTTACAATATCAAAATCAATCAAACTTGAAATCCTTGAAATTTGATTATATTGTATACACAATACAGAGCTGTGTAGGACCTCCACACAAACCTCCCTCACCTGCGTAGTTAAATCAGGAGGACAAGAGTTAAGGGAATAAATTAGACCTCAATCACATTCTTTGGAAATGTAAGCCACGTTTTTGCCAGCTCAAATGCAATCACACACCTCTTACTATGAATATTATATTGTTCTACCAGATTCCCACCCCCAAGTATAGTATAGTTAGTTGTTGGGCTTAGCTAAGGACCCCAACACACATTTGATTGGATACTTTTATGCAACTGCCCAGAGTTCAAGATGAGTCATCAAAAATACAAAGAGAATAATAATTTAAACATTTTTAAAAAAATATTTAGCATATAACAAGATTATAATCAATACGGGGACACAGGATTAGAAAAACCTATTTTTCATGTCACTGTGTCTTTAATCAGGACAGCACAGTATGCTCCTTTTGAAAGGAACTGGTAATGTTGGGTTCTTGACACCTCAAATTACCCTGTGTGCTGGCACAGGCTCCAGTAATCCTGCACAAGACGTGGGAATAATGGGTGGATGCATGGATGGTATCTGACATTTTAAAAAACTCTCACAGAAAGATCTGGCTGATGTTGTGTTTCTGACGAGCAGTGGTGGACTAGCAAGCAGAAAGAAGCGATGCATTTTAGGGTGAAGCTGTTCCCTTTTCTAGCATGTAGGACAGCCTATATGACTCTGCATCACCTTTTGTCCACTGTAAAAGCACCCCGGACGGCACTTTGTCACATTTTCTTACACATTTGACCAATGTAGAGAGCAGTTCATTGTATTTTATCTACCATAGGGCCATCCAAGAAGGTACTTTTTCTAACATGGGGGCACTGGGGGGCAATTGCAACAACAAAAGTGATACTTACTTAAGATTTGGTGTTAGTGTTTACAAATGACAAAATCCTATATTTTTGCATATCCATTTACAAGCTGTTTTTCCTCTCTGCCTCCTCAGTGCCTCCTCATGTCCCGTCCTGCGAGGTGCCGAGCTCTGTGTTTGTGGGCTCAGACCTGGAGCTTCACTGTAAGGACAAACTCAGTGTGCCCCCTGCCACCTACCGCTGGTACAAAGACAGCAAGGCTCTGACGGCCACAGCAGACACCCCATACAGCATCGATACAAACAAGGGCACGCTGGTGAGTGCACCCTAAAATATGCAAGTACTCGTGTACACACACACACACACACACACACTTAAGTGCATCCAGATATACACACATATGAACAGACTCACGTATGTTCTTTTCTGTTATTCAACTCTCACCTTGTCTCTGTCTGGAGCAGAAGTTTAAGAGTGTGTCCAAAACAGACGCAGGGATGTACCGCTGTGAGTCCTCCAACAGCATTGGGGCGCCCAAAAGCTGCGTGGCCCAACAACTGAAAGTCACTGAATGTAAGTGGTTCAGGTACAGTTCCTCGCTGGAGTTTAGTTTACATGTAATGCTCTTCACACTCTCGTTCCCTTCCTTCTAGATCCATTGAATATGACCATTTTGATAGCAGGAGCTGCAGGTTTTCTGATGCTCCTCACCTTCTGCTGCATCTGTGTGTGTGTCTGCCGACGCCGCGGCTGCTGCAGGAGTGAGTAGTGTGACGCTTCTGTGTGTCTGTGTGTGTGTGTTTGTTGATCTGTGCGATACAGTTATCTTTGAATATAACGGACGTGTTATCTGTAACACAATACGGCCTCTTTAAGCCTCTTTTATGTGTGACTCACTTGTAATCCTCCGCGCAGAAGTCTACAATATGAAATTTTGATTAAGTGAAAGGCACAGAGAAGGTCTAGGAGAGAGTTTGTGTACAGGCTACCCCTGGAGAGCTAAAAGAGAGTGAATATTGGACTTACATTCTTCAGGTGGACAGAAACACAAGCACTTAATGCCTGCTTAAGTAAATCTACTAATTACTATCCAGCTAATTACTGCCAGCAGATATATATATATATATATATAATAAATAAACTTCTTAGGCCAGTAGGATAGTGAACATTTTTAACTTGACTTTTTCTTCTTTGTTGAACAGAGCACAAGAAAACCAAAAGGTAAGGCTTTCACTTTTCAGTCTGACTCTTGTTTTGCCTGCAGGCATGTGTTATTGACTGGCTGAGCTCACACTGAACTGCCATCCTTTGTCTTTCAGTACTAAGTCCTTCAACCCTCCGCCGCCTCCTCCTCCTCCTCCCATCCGCAATGTGAGTGATCAGAGGGATTGTTATCGTGTCAGGGCTTGTTTTGGTCGCTGCCATGTATTTGGGTTGCCATTAAATTCTGTTGATAAGTTGCTGATAACACTAATTGAAGGAAATGATTCATTGTATGTCTCCCTGTTCTCTACAGCTCAAGAACTACAAACAAACTCATTCCTTCATGATCTGAGTGGGAAACACTCTCTTACTTTGACTTCAAACCAACCAAAATCTAAAGTGTACACTTATTGTGCAACCCACTGGAAACTTACTCGACCGCCGCCTTGCTCTCGGACGGGCGCTCGCTGCTTTCTGAGACAGATCTGGAGTTTAGGTTCTTCCTGGCATTATGTGTTGACAGTTTGGAAGATGTTTCCGACTTACAGTCCTGTAAATTCCGGGTTTAAATCAGCTCTTTCAAACGCTATAACATTCATTATATTCATATATTCAAGACATTTTTCTAAATCCTATTTTTCCAACTACTCTCAGGCTTAAGGGGCCGAGTTCGTCACTACAGTTTTAGTTTTTTTATGCCACCTACAGGCAAGTTACTGTTAAACCATTCACACTGATTATTTCCTGTTCATTTATATTTAGATGCAGAGATGTTTTATATGAAGTTATTCTTTCTTCTTTGTTGTTTTTATATTTTTTTAAAAACTTGTTTGTGTTTTGATCTCATAATTATTACTTGTTTGATCTTTTGAATTTTGAATTGAGCAACAAATGAACAGGTGTCTGCACACACTGAATGGTGCCATGGAAGCTTTTTAAATGTTTGATACTATTTTGATTGTCTATCTCTTGATCAATAAAGAATAATGAAAAAAAACAGCATATTGGATTTGTACACAGCAAGGGCGCTTGGGGGTTTCCATGGGTTCTATATCCCCCAGATGTACATGATCAGCCGTTACATTATGAGCACCTCAGAACCAGCATTAACTTTTTTANNCTACAGTAGCTCGTCTGTTGGATTGGACTACATGGGCCAGCCTTCACTCCCCACGTGCATCAGTGAGCTTTGGCCCCCCCATGACCCTGTCTCCATTTCACTACTTTTCCTTCATTGGACCACCTTTGATAGGTACTGACCACTGCAGACCGAACACCCAACAAGAGCTGCAGTTTTGGAGCTCCTCTGACCCGTCGTCTAGCCATCAAAATTTGGCTCTTGTCAAAGTCGCTCAGATCCTCTCGCTGCCCATTTTTCCTGCTTTAACACATCAACTTGAGGACAAAATGTTCACTTGATATATCCCACCACTGGACAGGAAGCCATATACACCGAGAAATTCTGTGGTTATTTCGACTGTCACCGAGTCAGTGTCATATAATGTTATGGCTGATTGGTGTATACGGGACATAATGGAAACATGACAATGGGTCCTACGTTCCCCAGTTCTTGGGTTAGGATTAGGGTTAAAGGGTTAGGGAATTTATAGAACCCATGGGAACATGGATAGTTCCCAGGGAGGGAATATCAATGTCATCAAAATCAACATTTGTTAAAAGCATCTATATGTATTTCAACAACCATCCACAAGATGACGAATACATTATATTATAGCCTCTTTAATATTTTACAATATGATTTAAGCCTGATGCCAACATAATTTTTAGCCACATTTGCAACATGGGTCTTGTGATGGTAATGTCAATCTGTTGGTGGGGCCATGTTTATGATACCTGCACAACAGATATAAGATATAAGATATAATATTATACACACACAAATATCTATCTATACAATACAGATACATTTCTTAATAAATCCATGTTGTTGCATTTGATTGCTGTAAAGCCTCACAGAGCCGAGCGTGGTTGTAGACTCTTAGTCTTGTTTATTGCTTATTAAATTTATTGAATACATTCTTGGTTTAACATCATGTCTGTCTTTTTCCTCCATGTTAGAAAAGGGCAAACAGTTGCTAATTATAAATGATAGACTGCACTGTAAAGTAATAAATGAGTTATTTATTACTGAACATTATCAACAAGCCACAGTGGAATAGTTTCCTGCTTTTACCTACGGCTGTACAGAGGGTGGGTGTTGGAAGAGACAGCCTTAATTAAGTGATGATGACCTCACAGATCAATTCCCATTTATCTAATTCCCATTGCTTTGGTTTTTGTCTGAGGGAGTAAGCCAATAAAACCAATAAATGAGAAACCTTAAATTCCAGATTTAATTTAATCTTTTAGAAATCTTTTTTATTATTTCTTTCTTTCCATCAAGTAGATTTCTGGACAGTCTGCTTCCCTTGAACAGACAACAGTTGAGTTAGTGGTGATTAACAGTTCTCCTTTGACCACTAGATGGCACCACAGAGCTGACTGTATCTGTTCACAGCAGTACCGCAGGCCTACAGCTCCATGTTGCCAGCTTTTATCCATTATTTGTCTATGAACAGTAGCACTATTGTTCTCCTCCCTTTGTACTGGTGCTGCTCATAAATTAAAAGTCTTGAAAAGCACTGATTTCCTGCAGCTTTACTTCTTCTACTTAACTTTACTGTTAAAAGAGATACATTGTCTGTGCATGTACTCATGACTTAAAAATGTTTCTATTAATGACTACACTCTTTGGGTTGTGCATAATCTGTAACTGCTACAATGCAGACAGTGTCAGGAACCAGTAAAAGAGATCTATTCTTGTACATGCTCATAATCTCTAATGATTGCATTAAGTGGCTCGTATTGATCCTCTAATATGACTGTTTGGTAGCTCAGACCTTTCTGATCAACCACTCTGGCTGCAAAGACAGGACATCAGCTGAGCTCTAAATGCACATGTTGTTCCACAGTCTGTCAAACTGGTTCTAGCACTGGTTCTAGCATAATGACAATGCATTTGTACAATGTTTTTTTTGGGAGGTATTCATAACCCTGGGACATCTGGGTCCAGAAATTCACTGCTCACTCTATTTATAGGGAGTTCTGTGTAAATGACAGTATTATGTATAGTTGACAACATGAAAAAAAGAAACAAAGATACTTATGCAACACTAATCGGATAATTTCTTTCATTCAGGATGTGACACATTGTTTCCATCCTTGCACAACACATGATGACAGAAGGCGCTCAATTAGTGACCCTCTGTTGTACTATTAGTCCATAGGATATAATAACTTTCACTAGACATTTGGATAACACTACAAAAAGGCCTGTGTCCCTCTAGATATTGTAAAAACACTGATATTTTATAATCTATTATATGATTAGGTTGGTTCAGACATTTTCCTTGTATTAGCTTATTATACAATTACCTGAAAATAAGAAGAGTTGTTTTTTTTTACTTTAGAAGGTTTTTATCTACAGAGGGAGCGGGTCCTCTTCTGCAGGGTCCACCATTTTGAACTGCCATGTTTCTACAGTAACTCAGAATAGACAAACCAAACACTAGCTGTAGATAGGGACTTTCATGTTTTTTACAAGTTTCACAGTCACCTAGTTTTTCCTACATGCTTGGAATCTGTAACTTCTCTAGATGCCAGTGAACCCTGCTTTAAAGCCGCCTCAAGGAACTTTCATTTTGTGTTGATTCTGGCGGCCCCTCAGTGTGTTCATCTGATTTCAAGGGGAGCAGGCATTAGCTCCTTTAAGGAATAGGGCAGAGCGTAGCGTGTGTGGTAGAGCATGAGAGAGCGAGTGGGAGTGTGTGAACGAGTGCGACCGTGTGTGACGGTGAATGCCAGCAGAGCAGAGAGAAACGGGTTAAGAATAGGTAAACAGATATTGCCAGTATTCTCGCTGATCTCTGTAGGTCATAAGACTAGTTTCACAACCAGTTAAAATCGTTGTAATAGCAATACCCCAGCCTAAAAACACTTGAAAGTCCTGCATTCAAAATTATATTTGAATAACAGTATAGTCAGCGAAATGTGTTTATGAAGCGTCAAAAGTAAAACTACTCAACATACGGAATTGCTGAGTGCAATGGACAAAGTGTAGGAGTTTCCTTCTACCCATATAAACACATCACTACGAATGAAACATCACACATGCAAAATTAGCCAACTGGAAATCCTGGTTGTACTTTGCAACGGTCATATGAGCAAACCCACAGTTGATGTCTGTGACAGAAAGGACCCAAATGATAACCCCAGCCACACACACACACGCAGTCATTTCTTGTAATATCCAGATCTGGTGGTTGGTTAATGACGCTGCCCGACTGCCAGCTATACAGTAATTTTTTGTGGTTCCCTTTGAACATCTTAACAAGCCTTCTTTATGGATGCTCGCCCTGGATTACAGCTCAAGGGGACTGTTACATCACATTTTGTAAATGTGTGTGTATATGTCAGATAGCGACGGATGAGAGAGTGTGTGAAAATAAGTGAGAGAGAGAGAGAACAGTTGAGTGTGTGTGGGCGGTGGCTGTCAAATGAAATCTATGTCAATACCACTGTTTTCTTAGATGTTAAATTAAGCCTCAACCCTGGTTTCCTCCAACACAGCTCCTTCCTCTGCTGCCTGGCACCAAATTGGCTGCACCGGAGCCTAACCCACAATGCACTCATGAGTTGAGCTCCCATGAAAACCTCCAGGAGCACTGCTCATCTATGAACAGGTGGCACAATGCTCACAGCACATGGCACAACACCCTCTGGGATTAAGTAGCTTTTTTTCATTTTTTACAACTCTAAAAAAAATCTGTTTCTGCCAGGTTTTATTTGCATGTTTTGTTTCTTTCTTTTGTTTCTAGTTTTGTTCCTATTCTCTGCCACCCAGTTTGTAGCATCTTTACGGCTCCCATAGCCCACTACATTAGTAGTTTTGGGTTATGCAAAGCTTACATCATACAGACATTGATGTATTTATGCCTTGGGGAGATTGTTGTGGCAAAGGGAGCAGGAAGAAGACCACTGACACAGGGATTGCCACAGGAAACTCTTTCTTCCCACTGTAGCAGTAAGAAATAGAACATTTAAACATTTAAACCCCACCAGACGACATCTCCTACAGCTTCATTAAATCTTTATCTCTTACAATGCTAAGAGTCTTGCTGTGTGTGTGTGTGTGTGTGTCTGAAGGCGAGAGGTGGAGCAGGCAGATCGTTTACTATTATGTACTCTCTGTTTTCTCTCCTCACTTTGAATTGTGCTCTTATTTTGCATTGTTCACTGACAAGACTGTTATTTGTAATTACTACAGAATTGGAGGATGGAAATGGTTTCTCACTAAACACACACGCACGAACACACACGCACGAACACACACACACACACACACACACAGCGTCCTGTTCTCCTGCACAAGCAATCAGTCAGGACTTTAACTCCCACAGCAGCACTGTGCTTCTTATTTGAGCTCAAATAGGAACAGTGTAGGCAGAGTGTTATACAGATGAAATGTTTTGTCTGTGTGTGTGTATGTGGTGGGAAAACCATTGCTATCCTCCAATTGTGTGTCTATGTGTGAAAGAGTGTAACTTGAAAGCATTGCACGATATCTGTGTCCTAAATGCCAAGTACGTTTGTTAAGTAGATGTAGTGGTTAACAAATCTAATCAACAGGCCCAAATAAATATGTTTAGACTTTACACTTTAATTCTCAAAGTCTCTGAGAGAAACTGAGGACACCTTTGACTGGGGCTGCAACTGATGATTATTTTCATTATCTGTTAGAGTGACAATTATTTTCTCAATTAAACATTTAATTGTTGGGGAAATAAAGTGTCAGCAAAAGTCTTGTTTTGTCCGACTAACAGTCCAAAACCTAGATAAATGCAGTTAGCTGTGACAGATGACAAATGAAACAAGCAAACATAATCATTTTGTAGGCTGCAACCAGTGATTTCTGCTT